TGGAAGCAAATGAGGGGTTGGGACACTCAGACAGCAGGAGGTGGAAGAGATGGTTCGTGGACCCAGGGAACTCCTAATTCCTAAAAGCCATAGTTAGTTTACAACTGCACAGATCTGCAGGGAAAATAATAGGATCAGTCATTGCAGTTATACCTCATCTGACTGGCATGTAAATACTGGGTTTGGAGATGGGGTGGAAAGTTGACTGACTGAAAGAAAATGGATTGAAATCCTTGCTGGGTTTTTTTTTGGGACATCTGACTGTAAGCACCAGTCTGGGACTTAATTCTTTTTCCCTGTTGCACCAGTTTAGTACCAGAATGATAGCAGCAGAGTCATTCCAGATTGATAGGGGAATATGTGAGGCCAAGAGCTTGGCCTACTGCTCTTTGAGGGTCACGTACAATCAAGAAGCATTACGGTCCTTGCCACTATAAGCATCAGTATGCAGAAAGTGCAAAGCTGCGTTGTAAGTCAGGGAGCTCAGGACTGCAGTCCTAGTCTCCACGAGTTTGGCACATTCATTGGTGCAGAGGTGCCTTGGGAGGAGGCACAGGGCTGTGCCTGGGCTGTGTCGACACCCCAGTCAAGGTCCTTCCTGCAGCTAAATGCCCTACCTGAAAGCAGAGAGGCTGGGACACAGCAGGGAGGAAGCATGTTTTACATGGGCTTTGGTGTTAAACCTGGAGAAGAAATGTTGCTTCTCAGGCTCCTTGTTTTTGATACCACATGGACTTCCAGAGGCCATCAGTCAAACCAGGTGAGCTTGTGCGGACAGAATAAAATGAACTTCACAAAGACACATATTGGCATTTCCAAGTTTGAGAGATCCCCTCTTAGTCTGAAAATCTTTCTTATTTCCTGCAGAAACCCACTAGGTTTTGCCTTATTGTAACACTGTGGTGAAGGTAGAAGGAAAGGAGACAGAATCATCCCATCAAACCGCTTTAATCACTGCCTTGGAGCCAAACGATGTTCACTCCTGAGTTTTCTTTGCAACTTCATTTTGCTTTTTAAAATCTACCAGGCAGCCTTTCGTTAATCAGCAGGTGCATCTCTCTCTGAAAGTATTTCCATCAGATGGGAAAAGAGATTTGGTTTTAATCCCTTCGCTTGCATAACCCTGTGACACAGACACCATCCTACCTCATGCTTATAAACTGAGCGGAAACAAAGTGGGATATTGGGAAAGAAGTAAATCTGCTGATTAGTTAATGCAAAAAACATTTTTTCTCCAATAACACCTTCCTTCAGAAAAATATAACTGCTTCCCAGGCAAAAAAAATTGACTAAAATATAAAAAAAATGAAGAAATTCTGGTGTTTCATCTCTTGGGCCTGCTTGGGATCCTTTATTCATTCCTTAACTGGAGTAACGTTGCTGCTGCATATACACCTCTGATTTTAAAAACTAGCTTCAAGTTAAAAGCATGAAATTCTGCAGCAGCCTAGAATTTCTGTACTGCTTTTTTAATCCCTAAACATGGTCATATTCTCATTTCTTGCTGCTTATAAGAGGGTCACAGAGCAGTATAGGTCCCAGCTGAATAGAAATATCTACAGTCTAAAGTTAGCATTGAACCTTGTACCTTTAGACCTTGAGACAGTAATTTAATTTTTCTATTTTAATTGTTCTGTACTTATTAATAATTGCTTAATATTTTAATCACTGAAATATAGAATCACTAATTAACAGGAGGAGTTTGATCTCTCACTGGTATAAAAAGGGAGTAAACAGTTCCAGGCTAAAGATAAAGCAATTATTTTAGAGGCAAATTCCAGTTTGGTGCTGGCGTAATTCAGGAGTCACTGTAGTGAACTTATTGGTGCAGGAGGGATCAGAATTTAGCCTGATTTCTATAAAGAGTTTTAGAGTCCAAATGCATAATCCTTAAACATATCTAAAAGCCTGTCACACCCAGGTATGTCTCTTATTTTGCAGCAAATTAATGCAGTCGCCTTTACAGGCGTCACTCCTGCCTTACACCAGAGTTGAGGGGGTCAGACTTGTGCTTTGTGAGCAACAGCAGCAGCCCTGAGCTCTGCACCGTGTGTTCTGCATGGGGTCAGGACAACGCAGTTTGGGTTGCCCTTTGGGGCTGCGGTGAGGTCCCTGAACTCCATTTTATTGATGAGTTGGATGAAAAACAGAGTAGAGGAGTCCAAGTTATCCGGCCAAATTCCTGCACTAAGCCACTTAAACAAGGGCCTGATCGGAATGTCATCGTTCACTTGATTGCTCATATCCCCAGAGTGAAAAGCTCTGATTTCACCACTGACTCCTCTGTTCTCCTGAAATATGAGGCCAACACAGCTGGGCTGGCAGCTCTGCACTGCCTGCATCATTAATATTGCCATGCCTGTCACAGCAGGTATATTCAGCACATTCATTTAATCTCTCAAACACCCTTGACAGCGTAATGGAGACGTGGCTGCATGTTCGGTGATGAAATAATTGCAAGTAGGATGCCTGGGGGCACCGTTCCTGGCATGCTAACGTAGTCAACATTTTTTGAAGGAGCCCCTCAGTTTAATTCACTTCCTATCTTCAGGATCCCATGCGGAATAGTCCGGTGGCACATCTCAAGGTCTGCAGCAGGCCCTGTCGCATCGGTAAATAACCAGTCAAATTTTTCCCAGTCATGTCTCTAAAAGGGGGTGATGCTGGCACAGGTTAGCACAGGGCTGAAACAGAAAAGAAGCTGTAAATACAGAGCAGAAGGTCCCTTCTGCAAATGGAGCTACAAGCACAGGGAGAGGAAAAGGAAGGTGAAGAACAGGGTAGTGAAAACGTACTCAGGTTCTCACTGCTTATGGATCACAGTTACGGATCTTCTACCACGGCAAGGCTGCCGAGAACAGATGGGAAGGGTTTCCCTCACGTCTCCCAGAGGAGGCTGTTGGCAATGATGCGTCACATATACTCAGCAGCTCGGTGCTCTAACTCCTCCTTCGCTTGGCTGGGATCTGGGATTTAAGTTCACACCTTGGGCGCTTCAGTGGATTCATTAACAAGATCAGGCAGTGCTCCTCTGCGGCCCACCAATCTTGCTGGGTGTAAATAAGTACCGTGACAGATGAAGAAGGTGAATGACTTTGCAGCCTGATGAAGCAAATCTTTCCCAGACTGACATGGCTTCCAGACTCTGAACCAATGAGAGGAAGCATTTTTACACCAAGTGGGACAACTTTGAAGATGAGAAAGAGCTATCCCTTACTTCTTCTGGTTAAATGTAAAGCTAGATCAAATCCTTGATTTTAACCAGGCATAGTGGGACTTCTGCAGCATTTTCTGTGTGAGTCCTAATCCAGGTCTGAAAGCACTCACCAGAGCAGCACCAGCACCAAACACAGAGGGACCTTGCCTCTGAGATCCTCGTGAAGATTTCTATGGGGACCTTGTGTCAGGGCATAAGGGCTTCAGTGCAAGCAACATGGGGAAATTTCAAGCATCTTCTTGGTTCCTCTGGATTTTGAGAATTGATGAGCTGCTAAGAGAGGATTTTGAAGATCTCATGACACATCAGTGTTGGACTGTAACTGCTTGGTTTCAGTGTAACATATCCATAACAAATATGGCTTGCACCTGGCTAGCCTGGGGTCTCATCAGCACTTTAATTCCAGGACCACAGGGCTCATTATGACTACCTTCACAAATACCTACCTATCCTCTCAGGTTTTGCAGTCTGGGTAGCCATGACTACACTGTGACAACATCTGAGCTAGCTTACCAGAAACTCATGAGTGCATGTTTACCCTTCAGGGCAGTTGTATCAGAGTATCTCATGCCCCTTACTGACTTCAGCCCTCTACACTGTTCTCAGTCCCACATATGGAGAAATACTTTGGAAGCATCGAGCTCAGATGATAAAAGGTATAGCTCTGGGGAGGGTTACAGTGTGGAACAACTGCCCTCTCAGAACTGAGAAAGGAACTGGATGTCCAGATCTGCAACGCTCCTCCTGGGCTCAGTGTGGTTTGTTGGCAATGAATCACAGATGCTTCAAGCAAGCAAGCAAGCAAGGAAAAAAAACCCCAAACCACCAAGTTAAAGATGCTTCCCTTCAAAAAACTATACTTCATTTTGAAGAAAAAGAATTCCAGGTGCTCTTAGTACGATATCTCTGAAAGAGGAGCCCACTTTCCTTTCCAAGTGCATGTATCGGTGACCCAGACTCTCCTTTACAATGACGGTGCTGTGACACGTTATGATGACAGAGCCCAGTTATGAAGTGTATATCTGAGCTTGGCAGGGATTTCCCACACCCAGCGTAAAACTGCTCCAACCCCATTTGAGGCAGTTGGGTGGGACACCAACACAAGCATCTGCACCCTTGTTTTGTCTGTCTTCTGAATGAGTTTGGGATTGCAGGGATGGTCTCAAACGCAGTGCCTGAGCATGTGAACTGCATGTGATGCCCTGCAAGCTGCCAGCCTGGCATGTCTGAGGAGGATTTGTCGTCACCCCTCTCCTCTGCCACTCCACCAAGAAAAGAAAAGAAAAAAAACTGTTCCCTTGGTTTCATCAGGATCTATGTGCATTTTTCAAATAGGGATTGCCCCTGTATGGAAAGTAATAGACCTTCAGAAAAGAGGTAAAATACACACGCCCATCTTAAAGATCTAACAATGCCTTCATCATAGGATGAAAGTTCCCCACAAAAGCTGAAGAAGAACTCAATTTAATAGCTCCTTCACTCCTTCCTGATTCCTGGGGTGCCAGTTATGTGCTCAGACAACCTTGTTCTGATGAAAGCGATTTTGCTTGCTGCTGTGACGCTAATTTTTTCATCTGGCGAGTGACTCCTTATGGCAGGTCCGATTCAATTAAGGATTACAGGGTTCTACATCTCCTTTTCCTGGCAGTGTGTGCTAAGCAAGTGCAAACAAATTACAGACCAACTGTTTTCCCCTGATCCCTAATGACCCTGGGTGCATTAACCACCAAAATCTATGGGCGAACTTAAAAAGAATGGAAAACACAGCCGCGCTCCGATTTTGGCATCTGTACCTGTTTTTTATACATGCAAATCGAGTTTCCTGTTCATTGAAAACAACCAAACAAAACATGATGTCGTGAACACAGTGCAAAGAAGGGCATTCACGCTGTTCCTTCTCAGCAACCTGCTCTTCCAGAAGGCACCCAAAGGTGCTTGGAAAGCTTTTGCTAACGACGATGGTGGGCAATTAGCAGAACACACTGCAGCACTAGGGCATCCTCCAAGCGGCTTTCCTGGTGCTGCAGCTTCATCTTCACATATGTAAAATGGATAAAAACGTGCGCTGGCCTCTCCCCTTCCTGCTCATGGTCCTCCTGTCCCTTCTCCCCATGTCCCCGACTCTGTCTGTGGTGCCTTATCACCACTTCTTATCAATGTGACTTTTGGCACATTCATATGTTTGGCATATATTTTCCCTTCTTCTTGCCTCCCTCTCTCCTTTATTGGCTCATTTTTTTTGAAAGTGCAATTATTCTGTTTCAGAGATGCTGGTTCTTGTAAAGCAACCAAGGACTCAGGTTCTTCCCTCCCTTACCCCCTGTACTTCATTGTTTATGACACATCAGGATCTCCCAGGCTCTCCTGAAGTGACTGGGACCTTTACTCATAGTTATCTACCCCTGAGGGCTTGAAACCCAAGAGTGAAAGGTCTGAGAAGAGAGAGAGGAAAAGTATTTTGCTGCCTCTTGGCTTGTCTGATCTTGTTCTGGATGCCAGTGGCTTTTCCAGTTTTGTGTCCTGTGTTGGCTCATGCTTAACATGTCATTTCATGAGGATTTGTCATCATATAACTGATTCCTGGGGATCCTTCTGTCTCTCAGTTTCTCTCTTGGATGCTCAGTGCTTGGAGAGCCTCTTGCCATCACACCAGAGAGAATTCTGCCTGGAAGCTAGAGCACCGGCGCGTCTTTGGTGAGCACTTGGTCAGCATGGAGATCTGGGTGCTGAAGTTGGTGCCGTTGCTGCCTAAGGAAGGGTGGTGATATTTCATGTCTGAGCCCAGGAACCGCTCCAGATGCCACCTCCGCCACTTTCGCTTGAGCTCAGCTTGGACCTAGGTGGTGGAAAGACAAGCAAGTCAGCAGAGGAGAGCGTTTTCTATTGCTCTGACTTGATTGTGTGAGCAGCCATGGGTGACCCACCTATGGAGAGGCCAATAATTATTTTATAAAGGTCATTAAACTCCACCTGGCCAGAACTTTAACCATGTAAAAGAGAGGTGACACTCCAGACAGTAAACTACTAGAGCCGAAATCCTTGAGCTTCAGCAGAAAGGTGAGCACAGGGAATTTCTTATCCGATACAGTGAAGGTGCCACACTACTTCACTTTAATGGCAACATATTCTACACATTGTGAATACAATTAAGATTTTTTTTTTTCACTGCCCCGTTTTTGTCCAAACACAAACGATTTAACTATAGCTTGTTTGTAAAGCTGTCAGTACAGCTGTGCTTTTCTGACAGAAGATGCATGCTCCTGCTCAGGGAGTTTACAGTTATTATCTGGTTTACACTGTCCATATTTAAATCCTGAGCATATCTGGCCACCATCCCTGTCCCCTCCTACAGCCTTCCAGTCCCAATTTTTAGATAACAGTATGAATTGGATAAAGCAACTGTGTGTGTGTGTCTGAGGGTCTCTGGGATCAGCAAGCACAGGAATAGTACCTGGCACCAGTCTGTGCCTAACAAGTTACGTCAACGCCTATATCAGTTTTGGATCATTAACAAGTTTGTGTGGTACTGCGTGGCTCTATGTAGGCTTACTGGCAAAGTTCTCTGCTGGAGCTCAGCTGTCTGCCCTGGGTGCCACTGCGTGATGTACACATGGCATCAGCGTGGCTGAAAGCAGCATCAGAGCTGTAAGAGGGCAAATTGTGATTCTGGACACTCTTCCTCTCCCTAGGAAGCTGGAACACAAACCCAGATCACAGCTGCTTCTTTCTTGTCCGTGCTCAGTTTATTGAGCTGAAAGTGCTCCAGCTGACAGCAGCTCCAAGTTTTTAGCTGCTCACATCTACTTGGTAGCCTTCACAATATGCGTTTCATCAGTCTCTGCTGACTTTCTTACGGGCAGATGGAGCATGGTACAAAAATATCACTGCATTAACAAGCCTCCATCATGGCAGTGGGCCTGATTCTGTGGAGGATTCATGAAGGTGCTAGGCATGAGTAGGGCTTGGAAGTTGGGCTTTATCCTTCCCTGCTGAAGGTGGTCCATTCGGATCAGGGTTATACAAGGTCATATGGGAGTTCTGCTGATGCCGTCTCATGAGTAACAACAGACTCAGCAGCAGCAGTACTGCAGTGCGCACAGAAGTGCTAATTTATTTATTGTGCTGGAAACTGTCAAGCAAATGGTTGCGTTGTTTTTCTGGAGTGAGTGACTTGACTTGGTCCCCCAATATGGTAACATCAGGAATGGGACACTTCTCCATCCACTCTCCACAAGCACTCAGTTTGCCTTAGCTGCAAACATTAATCAAACAATACTGTTGCTCTTACCTCCCCATTGAGAAAGCAGTACAGGACAGCCACCACAAATCCCTAGGGAAAAGGAGAGAACAGGTTTTTAGCACCTCATAGCTGATATTCCACTTGATCACCACCCAAACTCACTGTAGCCTTGGAGAAAGTGCACACTGCTGGGGGACTGCTAAGGTGCCCCTTAAAAACCACTTGCTTGCATTTTCCCAACAAAAGGAGTAGGGGAAGATTGATTAAGGTACCTTGCAGCAGGTGTATGGGTGTGAGTTCAAAGATTGCTCCAGACTAGTGGTTAAAGCCATCAGCAGTCAGCTCAGCTCTACAGGGAGCACTTGCTCATTCAAACTGGGGAGTTAGAGGCAACTGACTGTGATACAACACACAACTTCCCTGCTTGGTCTTGCCAGCTGAAAATGGGGAGATCTAAACATGGTCACTAGTACATTGTCAAGGTCAGAATGATCTTAGACATGGTATAGGGCTAAACTGTTCCTTTCCCATCTCCCCTGCAATGACACCTCGTTTTTGAGAATCTCAGCTTTCACTGCAAAAAATAAAACAAACCTATCTCTATCTCTATCCCTGCAAACTCTTGTTTGGCTGCAAAAACACTAAAGACAAGAAGTGAGTGTAGGTCTATTTATCTCTCAAAGGAGAGATGCCAGATGTGAAAGGATGACGATGTAGACAGGGACGTTAACTCATTCACCCCTGAAGAAAGCATTGCACTGACACGTGTATGGTACATGGTGACAGACAGATCCTGCTTGCGAGCTGTGAGAACACAAAGCGGCTAGACCTGATAAATGCATGAATGCAATGGCATGAAATACATAAATAAGTGCTATTTTTCATGCAACAGCAGGGCCAAGGTTAACAGCACAACATGGGAACTGACGGAAGTGAGGTGTGAAGGAAGGTCTAAGAAGCAAATTCCATCAGGGCTTTCTGAGGATTAAGGCAGAGGACAGTCCCATTATCCACCCTCATGGGGAACCTGTCTCCTATACTAATGAACTGGAATCGTGCTTGAGCAGGATCTACAAGCAGGACTTGGCTTATTAATGAGGAAAAAGTTCATGCAAGTAGACTGGTTGAAGACAGACAAGGCTCTTGTTAATGGCCAGGTAGACATTCCTCCCGAAGGCAATTTATTTTGTCTTACACCATGTCAATAATACGTAAACTGCACTGAGGTGCTCATTTTTCTCCCTTCAGTACAAAAAAACCCAGGGCGACTAACATACAGAGGTGCATTTTCTTTTCCTGTGCCTAAAATGAGGACAGAGCATCTCCTTCTGGAATTCCAGGAGGCAAAACATGCAATCATCTTCCATCCTGGCCAAGCTGGAGTCAGTAGCTTTTTCCCCAAAGGTATAAGAGTAGTATTGGGCACGCCCAGGAAAAACCCGGCTCACATATTTGCTTATTCCCTTGTCATGCTTGTTACACTTCTCCCTACCAACAGACCTGGTGGCCCAAAGGCTGTCTTACCTGGAACGACCCAACCACGAGCTCAAAGACCAGCTTAACTTCTGCTTTGAAATTGTCAGGGAAGAAAGCAAACATGATGTAGTGAATGCCAAAGAGAGGGATCAGCAGCAAGGTGGACTTGGCCAGCCTCCTGTCGGAAAGACAAACACGAGTCATAATGAGAGGGGGACGAGGAGCTAAAGGGTAAACTGGTGAGAAATTCTGCAGCTGAGCCCTATGCAAACCCAAAACTGTAATTTGCTGCAGCACATATTTGGTGATAACCTGGATCAGGATGGTGTATCATGTAGACTGTATCATGCATGTTAAGTACCTTTGTTTGCCGTTAGGAGATGTGATATGGGCCATTTACCCTGAGGTTCTGGGAACATTCAGCCTTTCAACAGCAACCTCGAGCGAGGCAGCATCGGGAGGCTGCCCTGGCCCAGAGGGAAGATGCGTCTCGGGTACCAGGAAAGGGTCAAGCTGAAACAGCTTCTCACAGTCTAACCTCCCCAAGATCCCTCTGATGACCTGGTATAGGATGCAATGACATGTGAAGCAAGAACCAAGTACTGTGCTGAGATCATTTCCACAGGCTTGCTTTCCTCCTTGATAACAGCTCTCATATAAATATACACGTGCCTCCAGTTGAGGCAGAGTGACCAGCCCTAAATTATTTCTCCTTGGCCTGCAGACTGCAGATGGCTGGTAATTTCAGATGTGGTGACAACATAAAATGTGACATCTTTATTCCCAGTGACTTCAATGGAGGTATTTCTTTCTCCCTTCTCTCTTCTTCCCCTCCCACCGGAGATCTTTTTTCATCTCTACAATCTAAATCATCATCCAGCGCTGTCTTTGTTTGCTTGGGATTTCTCAAAATTACAGATTCTGGGAGAGAAATGGTATGTTTAACTCAGAATAATGACAGGCTATCGCACAATGAGTGTCTCCAAAGGAGGGGGATGAACAGTATTAGTGCTTAATGGCATCAGGCTGCATAATCAGAGGTCTAATTAGGAAGAGATGATAATTTATTAAATATAATCATTATTGAAATATAGCTGATGGAAATTAAATGAAATCAGGAGGACACTTCTGGGGGTTTTGGCTCCCTTGGTCCGCTACATCACCTCATGTCCCCTTCTCCCAGAGGCTTCTGGAAGAATTGAAGTTCTGGCTGCAATGCTGGAAATACTTCCATCTGCAAACCCTTCACCTCCAAAGTCTCATCCGGCTCAGTCCCCTCAGACTATCTTCATTTATTTGCCATCTGCTGAAGCCCACTGGGAAGGCTGATGTGCCCGCTTTTATGCAGATGATTCTCACCACTCTATCTCCCAGGAGACCTTTCCAGCTTTCCCTGAGTCTGGCCGAAGGACAGCTTAACATTAAGGCTGTGGTTGGAGGCTGTGGTTCCCCAGGCAATGTGTGCTGGCTGAAAGGCAGCTGGGTGCCACTCATTCCAGGAAAATGAGTGCCTGTAGGAAGCCAAGGATCTTTCCAGGAATATGGCTTTCCCACCACCCCCCTCACCAGCAGGCACATCCCAGCTTGTAGTGAGTAGATAAAAAATCTGAGTCCTTTTTGATGTCTTGCTCTGCCAGAGGACTGTCACTGTCATAGGTGACCATCAGGGTACCACGTTCCTTGCTCTTAGAAGCAGCTCTGGCCAGTGTGGCCCACACTAATATGACCCTACTAGACCTCCTTTAGCTCCTGACATACATGAAAGCAACTAACTTTCTGAGCAGATCCCAGTTCAGTGAATAACATTAGTGGCTTTGCAGAGATCTCTTCTGTCTCCCCAGTCTTTCAGGAACAGTCAACCTAGAGGAGATCGATGGGATGCTACCTTCCTATATCGTATTCATAGAGACACTGTTTGCAGACTCCAGTGGACTAGAAAATTTCATATTATCATTGCAGAGAACATCGGGGCCACAGTTATAGCACTTTCCCTCCTGGCTGGACTGTGGCAATGAAAAGGGCATAAAAGCCAAACCTTAGGAGTCCCCTCCTCCAGTTTGCACAACACTCCAAACCAGTCTTTTACTCCCAGCTCTGAGCTTCCCCAGAGTATTGAGTGATGTTTTAGATCTCAGTTTGGCTTCAAGGCAAGGGCCCTGTGGTCTAGCCCTATGATATTTAAAAGACTCCTCCCAAAAAACACTGCAATGAGGAGAATCATCTTCTCTAGTCATGGTGCAATTTCTCCCAGTAAACTAAAGCCTGGCTGTGCAGGAGGCAGAACTGCTTGGGAGATTGTCCAAAGCTGTTTAAAGCTACCTACTGGAAGCCATGGCTTCTCAAAAACCTCATTACTTTCACTCCCAGCACAGGGTGAACTTCTTAGTCCTACCCTCTCTGACAAATATACCTGGTGACAGGCAATTTAGGGAAAACATGTCTCCACCAGCCTGCACTGAACCTACTGCTCTCCTTTGGAGTGGGTAAGAGTGAACCAATATTTTAGTCATGCTCCTTGAACGCACAACGGAAAAGTTACCCAGAAAACTATGATGATGATATTGATCTATGAACATGTACAGAATAGAAAGAGATGAATTTTGCTCAAGATTTCTATTGCAGCAAACAACTTCTATTTGCCTGAAATATTGCTGTCCTATTCTTGCATATGTCTCAGTCATTTCCAGAAAACTGTACTGGGAGATTTGTTTTCACAGTTTTGAATACGTTAAAGCCCGGTTCACTGTCTGTAGCACTAATGAATGAGTCAGCAGCACACTTTAATTCCAGCCTGCAGCTAAACTGAAACTGGTTGCAATTGAATAATACTGTCAACATGTCAACATGCTATTTTTTTATGAAGTAAACAATATAAAATAAACAAAAGAAGGAGAGAGAAATGCAAATGAGAGATCCCTGATATTGTTAGAGTAAAAAATACTTCTTTCAGATTTGGCAGGAGGAACCCACATGTATCATTAGCAGCAGTTTTTTGTGAAGATCTCTTGGGTCCTGCAGGCCAAACCCTTGAAGCTAACAGCAGAATTTCAGATAATAAAGGAATGACATGTAAAAGAATCCAGGTACCTACAATTGCAGAACACATCCCTAATGGCATTTATAAAATGGTCTGGACCCCAGATGTCTCTACAGAGAGCTTTCTAAACACTAAAAACTTATGACCACATTGAGAACTCCCCTTCATGGGGATCCAGCCTTCAGGTTGGGACACTTCATATTTATTTCCACAGTAAAGTGTGGTGTCTCATGTCCCACTGTAGTCAATACAGTCAAGGAGACCTCCAGGTGCCCCAGAAAATCTGACTGGTGGCCAGCTGCCACTATACAAGGGAAGTAGTCTCCCATAAGTCCTTGGTCCTATATGCCAGGTCCAGGCAAGTATCTCAAATGTCCTAAAGCATCTCATAGGACATTGAGATGCTGGAGTGTGTCCAGAGAACAATAAGGCTGGTGAAGGGTCTCGAGAACAAGTCTTATGAGAAGCGGCTGAGGGAACTGGGGTTGATTAGTCTGGAGAAGAGAGGGCTGAGGGGTGACCTTATCGCTCTCTACAACTACCTGAAAGGAGGTTGTAATGAGGCAGGCATTGGTCTCTTCTCCCAAGTAACCAGCGATAGGACGAGAGACAATGGCCTCAAGCTGCATCAGGGGAGGTTTAGATTGGTTATTAGGAACAATTTCTGCACTGAAAGTGCTATTGAGCACTGGAACAGGCTGCCCAGGGAAGTGGTTGAGTCCCCATCCCCAGAGGTGTTTAAAAAATGTGTAGATGTGGCACTTCGGGACATGGTTTAGCAGGTATGGTGGTGCTGGGCTGACAGTTGGATTTGAAGTTCTTAGAGGTCTTTTCCAACCTTAATTATTCTATAATTCTCTATGGCTTGGACACCTGTAAGTGAGCAACAGATTCATGTCCTAATGGAGCTGAGATGTTTTCCAGGTGCAGAAAGGAAGTGGGGAACTGAAGATGTGAAGATCATTTGTACCTCAGCAGTGCCTCCTGTTTGGCATGCCAGTGTGGGGAAGTCCGTGTTACTTACTGCCCGGCTGTGCTACGCTTGTTTACAAGGCAAAGAAAGCCTCCTGACTTAATTGGAAAATGTGAAGTAAAAAGCCCTGAACCCAAAGCTCAGCATGACCTCCGAGGTAATCCGGGCATAACCCTTCCGATGCGTGTTGGCAGCACTTCTACTGAGATGAATGGGAGCCAACTGCTCCAGGCTGCTACTTAGTACTAGAACATATTTCAATATGCTGATTTAATCTATGTACCTGGCCAAAGCTGTTGCAATCCTGGGGGTACAAAGATACAATGCCCGATTGGAAATACATAAAGGGAGGTGATAGAAAGCACAGGCTCTGGTAAATTTGGTGTATTGTGATGACAGAAAAAGAGGTAATTGGCTTTGGCTGCTGCAGGGAGAAGTTAAGGTCAAATACTGGAATTTCCTTTCATAAATCTGAGATTGTCTTGAGGCGGATGAAATGTATAATTTACCGTCACTAGAGATAAAGACTCCGTGTCATGGCTGGTCAGTATTTGAGGACCACATTGATATTTTCTACCATCTTTCAGAAAGATGAACGGAGGTCAGATTCTTCAGGGTACCTAAGTGCACAGCTCCCTCCAAAGACAAAGAAGATTTCTGAGCAGTGACCATATAGACATCGGACTTTTCTCTTTTCAGTTCTTTTCTAGGAAACATTTAATAAATATCCAGGGTAGTTGAAATGCTGACCCAGATCAGTGGCAAGAGTAAAAAATAAGCTGGTCTGAACTTTTATTTTATGTGCATTGAAGCCAGAATAAATCCATGCAGACAGACAGAGTTCTTGCACTCTTAAAATACTGCAGCTAAAGACAAGTCCTGGCCACTGAGACATAGATTCTACTGAATGTACTAATTTTCTAGATCTCTCCTTCTTTGAAAAAGGGAGCTGAGGGTAACTAGTTCAGTACAAAAAATGCCCATATAGTGTAGACAGCTACTCTTTGTTATCAGGGTCCCTCTTCCTTCAGAATCCAATAAATATTGAATAAACCAAGAAAAAACATATTTTGTTTCATGATCATTACTGTTGCTCTCACTTCATCGTTAATCGCAGGAGAAAGCTTTCCCTCCTGTCTGTTCAAACTGACACAAACCTTGCCCAGCCATTTTAGCAAAAGCCATATTTCCTAATTTCTGATCATCTTCAACTGATTAACAAATACTTCATTCTGGTCAATGCAGACAGATGCAATAATGAACTAACAGCCAAACAGGTTTCCCAATAACCATATCACATGGATGAAAAAATCTAGGACTTACGAATATTGGCTGGTTTCATTGTGTCCAACGTCTGGGGAATGCAACTTTTGGACTAAGATACGGATGATGCAAATGAAGAGAATGAAGTTCACCTGTTGGGTTGGGGAGAAAGGAAACAGAGAGAGAAATAATAAATTAGTATTTTTCTCCAGTGAAAAGAGCCCATCATAAGAGAGGAATTAATTTTACTGCAATATTTTTGTCATGGAGCAAGCTGTTGTTAAAAAGCCATGAGCAGAGAACCACACTCTGGGAGCACATAGTAAACCGACACAGGATGGCAGCCATCTTGGGCCTGACATCAGCCTGCTTGGGACTTTGTGTCATACATCCCAAGTATGATGATGTCAAACCCATAGAGCACAGCTATGCACGACGTCCTGCTGCGCGGGGGAGTGCCGATGACAGGGTAGGAAAAGAGCCTTGGGAGTTAGCAGAGCGACGGACGTCAAAGACCTCAGGAAACGGTGACATGGGACTGGCTGCTGAGTATGTCAAAGACTGAGGTGGTGAGCCAAGGAAACCAAAACAAAACACAAAGTAATATCCACTCCTGCAGGCCTCTCTACTCAATGCTATTGGGCATGTCTTCTCTGGAGAGAAGATGGAGACCTTTTATAGCAAGTGACAGATCACACTGACACAGTGGAAAACATTGTCTCCTAAGACATTAGACCAGAGGAGTCTAGCTAATACCTAGATTTTAGATGGTGTTTTTCACTGAAAAAAATCTCACGTGCTCCATCAACACACTCAAGCAATGCTAACCTTATTGAATAGCTCAGGTGTAGAGATAGGAATGACAATTTCCTAAAGGTGCGTAGTAGATGGCATGAGTTGAATGCAATTCTATTTGCTTTCAAGGTCCTATCCATTGAATCACGTTGTTATTCATGCAACATGTACAATAGAAAAGCGATGACAGATTTCTGTGGACTTAGTTTAGTTTAGTTCAGTTGTAGTTTGGCACACGTCTTTCTTTATCCTTTCATGGCTAGCGAACTCACAGATGATTCTCATGTTTAGAGACTAAGTGGCTGGAAGGGATTGTGTTAACCAGCCAATCTGATTTCCTGCAAAAAGAGATTGTAAAATTTCCTCCAACAATTCCTACATTTATCTCAACAACAGGTGAATAAAGTAGATGGAAGCACATCTCTAAATTAGACACTCACTCTTTTTTCAAAGGCTATGAGTGATTGGAAATTAATTGTATTTCTTGGTTATGATGCATTGCTTAATCACTTTTTATCTATCCCATGCCATTTATCACAGTTGCTGTTCATATTTATTTGTTTATAAAAATGGTTTGCATTTGACTTGCTGGCAAGTAAGATTTATGAGTTCAGAGCAGTATCATCTAGATTAATTACTCTAAGAAGCATTGATAGCCCACAAGCTGAAGCACTGAAGATAAGATGGAAGCAGTTAAATACTGACTGTGTTGGCTTGTAGTATTCAAGAGCAAACATGGACACAGGGCAGTGATGAGTCAGGTGGAGTATGACTTACAGGCTTAGTGCAGTCTTAGCATTACGTGGTAAAAGATATGGCTATGGGGCTATTGGAGAAGTTGTTTGGTTTATTTTTCAACCTAGAATATAATCAAAGGCACTTGATCTGTTCCCAGTGCTTAATATCATATATATATCTTATATATGTATTTCTTCCTTCCATTGAGATCTATGTTTTAGTTGCATAGATATGGAGAAAATGTTGCATTCCTCCCTGAAGAAACCTCCTGTTCATCAGCTAGTGGTTTTCACGCCCTTCATTTTTGCCAGATTTATATGATACCTGCAGAAGGAAAATCAGAAATTGCTGGGCAAATTTTGTTTGGCTACGAGGAAATAATTTATTGGCCAAAAGAAAATACAGACTCACTGATCCGAGGAGAACAGGGTGTATTTCTTTACCAAAAGGTGATCTCAGGAAAGGGAAATACTATCTATAGCTTTATATGATGATAAAAATATTTTGAGGTGTGTCACATAAGTATTGCATTTCTTTTCAGTGAGGTGAGTAGAGTAAGAATAAGTATTTATTCAAACAGTTTCAGTTTGGAATCCCTGTATGACAAATGCTACAGAAAAAAGTCTTCTTGTAAAGGTCATAGTGTACGTGGAATAAGAAGAATATATGTCTAAGAAAAGATTTCTGTTTAATAAAGATACATTTGGTTTGATTTCTGTTGCATTCCTTTTCTTCCCTTCCCACATACTTTCCTTCACTTAAGAAAACTCAAAGCTAAGTTTAACTCAAGTTCATTTGATTTCAAGTTTTGGCTTGATACCCGACAGAGTAAACATGTAATATTCAACAAGGGTGGAAGGACTCAGAGTTCCTCAGAAGTGTCATGGTTTCTGTAATCAGAATTGATCATATCCAGAGAATTAAGAAGTCAAGCACTTGTTGATTTATCTGGAAGTTAGCCAAGCTTCTCAAGAACTTAAAAACCACATAGCTGGAATCCAACTTTGCACTGGATGCTACAACAGGAGGCAAATATCAGGGGGAATTAATGTAACCTCTTTGTATCTAGGTAGAAATTTAAGAAAGGCCTTCTCCGATAGGACTTCTCCCATTTTACTTTATGGTATTGACAACTACAACTGAACAAGTCATCCTCGGCTCTGCATACGGTCAGCTCAGAGAAACAAAAACATTCATGGCACAATTAATCTGATCGAATTTAGACATCCACTGATTCATTAGACAAGATTTTCCTGGATCTCTACCTATGTTCCTCAACCTCCTCTGGCTACACACACCCACACCTACTGCAGCGGAGTGCCTGGGGTGACCAGCTGAGATGGAGGTGGTCAGTGTTAAATCAAATGAGCTCCACCTTGGTTCTTTAGACACTCAAGCTCTTCCCGTGGTCAATGCTTAAAGGTAAAGATGTTTATTCAGAGGGTGAGCTTCCATAACCTAAGACAGACATTCAATATACAGTGGGATTTTATCTGTCAATGTATTTTCCACAGACATTTACAGAACACTTCTTAACATCCCTTCCCCCCCCCCCCACTTAGTACTAAAGATGGCTTTGCAGCCAGCAGAATGTGCTGATACTTTACCAAAATAGACACCAAAATAGGAGTTTTAATGATCCACCAGAACGGGGATTCCACTATTTCCTCCCAGCACCTAAAGAGAAACAAAACCAGACTTAAAATATCAAGAAATACAAGCAAGCAGCTATGTAACCTTTTTGGATACTTGGTTTCTCTGAGTGATAGAGATAGCTATACTAGGTTATATGAAGAGGAATAAACCTGATGTGCGTGAACCAGGAAGGGCTGAAGACTTGCTTTGCAGTGGTTTTGAGCACTGGTAGGTAGCGGTTACTCCAGATATAATTCTGTGAGCTCTTTACCCCTTGGTAATGGAATGGGCTGGAGGATGTTATCTCAGTGTTAATGTGGGGGAGGATGGTGATTCACTTGTTTCTCTTACAGTGAGGTCTGCTGCAAGGAAAAGCTATCAAAAACCACAGATTCATGAGGCCTCCAGTGCTATCCACCATCACGGATGGGGCTTTTGTTAAGCACAGAGCAATTCCTACCATCAGAAAAAAAACACCTGCCCTTCTGAAAAAGATGACAGCCAGCCTATGGTGGGATTAGTCAGACTACATCTAGCTAGCTGCATCTGAGCTACGGACCTAGTCAGACAAGTCCATAGGGTCCAGGGTGTGATTTATTTCATCCTGAAGTCAGAACTGTCTGCACACCACACCACTCACCTAGGTCATTTAGAACTATATTTTAAAGCCAACAAGGAAATGACAAAATAGGAATGACGTGGAAATGACTAATATTGCTCGGGACATATTTATCTGCAGACCTCATGAGAGTCAGGTGACCAAAGGTGCATTTTTAGGAGAGCATTCATGAAAGCTGGTCTGCGTTTATGCTTGAAATAGATTAGTGGAACCCACCATAGACAATTTCACCTGGATTCAGCTCTTCTAATTAAAAATGTTGACAGCGCAAGTGATGGTAGATGAAGAGAAGCACTGTTAGGGCACAGTTCCGGAAACCTATTTTAGGCATCAACTTTGGGATGAAAAGAATTGCACTCCATGGACTACACTGACTAAATCTCCACTAGCTATAAAAGGAGACTAGAGAGAATTGCTCAGATACAGATGCTTACACTTAGTCAGGTGCATGCTGCCCTTTCATTTAGAATTAAAGTGGCCCTAATTGTGTCTAGTGCACTTCATTTTTAAAATAAATTCAGGCAGTCTGAATGAAGGTCACTTTAATTTGGAGTCAGAATGCTTAAATAGAGGCTTAAAGTTGTTTAACCAATGTGACATAATTAGGTACTATTTAATCTGGATTAATTTCCTGTAATTTTTCTCTGTAGGTAATTTTAGGATGCCAAAAAAGTCTACGTTAGGTCTTAGCACATCCTGTAAATTCACACTCTGTTTTACTTGGCACACAAATGTAGAGCTTTAAAGCCTCCAGAAAATGCAAAGAAGTCTGTATTAGTCTTGAGAATTACTGGAGCTGAGTGGAAATATGTAGTAAGAAGAATTGGTATCCAGACTGGTTAAATCCTTTGGTCTCTATCTCATTGTAGAGGCTATTTATTAACAAAGTAAACAAGGGCAGTCTTATGCAGATAGAGTGAAACCATAAAAGAAGTCAGTAGCCCTCAGGAAACGTGTTAACATGACTACAAATCAAAAATGCAATGAGAAATCTGAGCTGCTTCTCTTACTGAAATAAGGACAAATCAGGACACATTTGGAGAGAGAGAATGCACAGGAGAAAATGGAGTTAACCATATGCTGTAAATGCAAGAAGCGAGGGCATGCACAGTGACTACATAATAAGCACCTGATTTTGTAACTCTCTGGAGTGTTTTCTCATAAAAGCTTTTCCAATTACTGTAGTTTGACTGCTTGAGTAAAAGCACGAAGGAGCATAGCAGGATCAGATCCTATTTGCTCGCATATATCCTTGGATAACTCTAATATCTGCCTCATTTACTTATCTGTATTCCGTCTGCTTTTTATATGAAGTATGAAAGGCAGCTGTTAGGTTAAAGAGGATGAAAAACAGATCCTAAAATCTGCCTGGAGGAAAAAAAAAGAGTTTTTAGAGTTCTCTGTGGCAGAGCTAATAAGAGTGTTTACTAAATATCTGCTGCATGAGAATATTCAGGGTCAATTCTGCAGGATGCAAATCTCTGCTCTGAGAAGTGGGCAGCTGCTCAGCTGGCATCCTTGTTATACACAGGACCACAGGACCAAAGGCAACCATCAGGGTCTGTTCACAAATTCTCTGCAAAAAGCCTGACCAAGGGGCTGGGAAACAAAGAGGGTGAGTGACTGGCCTACGTTGACATAAACCGTGTGTCTTCAGGGAGAACTTGGAGAGTTTCCCAGCTCATGGTGGCAGAGGAAAGCCCCTGTTCTGCTCATACTGCCATTGGGGTTAGGGCAGGATGGCTGAGTTACTAAAACTTCAGGGCTTTCCTTGGCCTGCCTTGGAGATAAAGGAAAGAAGAAATATAAAGGAAAGAGAATTGAGACAAACAAACTCAACGGTTGCTTACCCAACATCGAAAAAGTAAATCCTGACAATAGTCCAAGTAGTGATGAACAAGGAGGGGGCACCTGGAAAGAGAGAAGATGGTGTTACTTTCAGAAATCCTTATCATTGTTTTCAGAGCTGTTCTCTCCCACTATCCATCTCTCCTGAGTGACTGAGGTGATGCCTTCCCTCAAGAGTGGGCAAATGCTTCACATTTTCAATGCTCACACACCAAACAAGCGAAGTGTTGCCTTTCTCTTCCACCTGCCATGTAAGATGAATTTCCTGTAACTGCTCCCTAGCAGATTTATCTTCCTGTTGCAGCGCCTACAAAAGAATTTCTGATGGTGAAATGCAAGGAGTAGGAATCACTTTAGACATCTACAGTGTGGACACCTGTATCTAAGCCAGTCACCACAGGCTCTCTTTAGCATCAACGGGGAGAAATATGTACTTCTAACACACAGGTCATCTGAGCTACTTCAGATCATTGTTTTAGGACAAGAAACACCCCCTTGGATTCCCTTGACTGTATTGCCTGGATCTCCACTGACTGTAAGGGAGCCCAGAGTGACCAGTTCACAAGTAGATGTCTGTAGTTGGCCAGATGAACCTGCCTCTTCTCCTCACCGCATGATCTGCTGCCTGACGAGGATGGTCCTGTTTCATCATTGTGGTGCCTCTTTTCTCTGCCTCTTGTGTTTGATTAGATTTAGATTGCAATTACTCCATGAAGGACATTTTGCTTTGTTCTGCGTTAGTCATAGATTTGCATATTATTTATTACCAGTGATTTCTGAGTGCCACAGTAATAAAAACAAAGAACTCTAATGAGTGCATCCAAATTATTAATTCCTGCATGATCCATTTCAGATCCATCACTGACGCTCTTGCAAATGATGCATGACTGAAAGGCCAAAAGATCCTTCCAGCACCTGTTATTTTCTTGAATTGTCTTTCCTCACCCAAGAAATCTCATAATACATTAACAGTGCGAGAGATTTCCTTTTATTTAAAATCGTTAGCTTCATATATTTTTCTTTAAAGTCTGCCGGCTCTACTGTGCTGAAGCAAAGGGTGTCTGTGCACAAGGCAGGTTTAAAGAAGTTCTGACCTGATTAACTGCATCTGAAACAAGGCCTGCTGACATCGACTCTTCTTATGCTTATAGCACGGAGAATTGTCTCTCTTCTGCAGTGTGAACCCAAGCATAACTCCTGTCACTTTCAATGGAAGTTATGGCTATGATCAAATCCCAAGTCCAGGCATACCCTTGTACATGACACAATTTTATTTTTCCTTTTGTTTTCAAGATTCCTCCCCGCTCTATTTATTTTTCAGTTTCAGTTAATGAGAACATGCAATAGAAAGTCGTTTTGCTTACTTCTACATAAATCTTCAGCTAAATAGCTTAAAGGGGAAAAGAGACCTCTGTTTCATCTTTGGAGAAAGAAAGAAAGTTGATCTGGTAGGATAAATTTGCATAAGTTAGCAATTCTCCTCTGAGTTACTTTGTGAAGATTTTAATTCTGTATTCCTTGGCATTTTCTTTTTACTTTACTTTTTTTTCTTTTCTTTTCTTTTCTTTTCTTTTCTTTTCTTTTCTTTTCTTTTCTTTTCTTTTCTTTTCTTTTCTTTTCTTTTCTTTTCTTTTCTTTTCTTTTCTTTTCTTTTCTTTTCTTTTCTTTTCTTTTCTTTTCTTTTCTTTTCTTTTCTTTTCTTTTCTTTTCTTTTCTTTTCTCTTCTGTCTTTGAGACTAGATTCACATTAAAACTGGAGACATCATAAATACAGTAAGCAGAAGGTTATCAGCATTAGCACACAGGGGATGGGATCTCGGGAGAGCTAGCTGGCCTGAATTCTGTAAGACCAGGAGCGGGTGACGGACTGCAGTGTCTGGTTCAGTCCAGGAGTCCTGCTTTGCTGGGATCCATCCTTACAATTTAAGGTCAAGGCATAATATCAACTTTAGGGTCCCATTCAGTATCAAAGCACTAAATGTCTATAAAGGTGACGAGGAGTTTCAGGTCCACAGTCCTTTAAGACGCCGAGATGCTCAACTACCAGGTAACCTAGCAAAAACTAAGTTCTTAAACACCTTTGAAGATTTAGGCTAATGCTGTTAAACCCCTCTGGCCATCATCTGGTCTTGCTTCTGGATGCACTAACAATTCTTGGCAGCAAGGTAACACGTAGACTACATCTCTTGCTGTCTGAGCCCCCAGGTTTGTGGATTAAATTGCTGTTAAAAATGCCAGTCAGGATCACCTCTTGGCATTCAGTTTTGAGAAGATGCGTACCCCAGCCAATCAAGATGTACCACCAAAAGTATTTCTTCTCTGAAAAGAAGGAGATGACCAACAGGGTGTGAAGATACAAGCCCTCCACCAGGAGCCAGAAGAAGTTGGCCATGACGCAGTACTGGAAGAAAACCATCATGGCTTTGCAGCCTACCTGGAAGAGAAGAAATGAACAGTCGTGAACTGCAGCATGTTTCCATAGTAAACACACCAAATTACCAGTCAGCATTGCTCTGTGTCTGTGCTCTGTGTCTGCATATCTTTGGGATTGCTTTTTGCAGCACCCGAAGCCCTTATGGAATAAGCTTTACGGTAAAAAGATGAAAGCCCTGCCAAGCTTGCTTGTAGGGGACATGCTTGACACATGTTAAACGCTGCATGGAGAGTACAGGGTACATCCTTGAGGGAGCCAGCTCAGGTCTGGACGTTGTTTGACTCTGAGCCTGGAGTTGCACTCAAGCTTGGAAATCCTCCTGAGCAATGACAGGCTCATACGCTGGACCATGATCCCTACCAGCATGGTGCTGTTTTCTGTAGGTTTTAGATGTACATCTGCGGGAAGCTGGTTTAGTAGCAGAGTGGCTGCCAGAACGTGCTGTCCTGATGTGCAGTCACCAGCTGCTCTGCCCTGTCAGGCGTGCATTCATGGGGCTGGGCTGTGAAGCGAACCATTGCACTGGTTCAGAAGAACCCTCCAAAAAGGTGCTACTTCGAACTGAGAAAAACTCAGTGACTGGTTTATGATGCCATGTACAAAAACTTGGTTCAGC